CCCCCCCCCTCACTCGAGGTGGGCACTTTGCATTTCAGCGAGGCACGACCGCGACCGGCACCGGGAATCATCGGCGAGTCAGTCTTGCTCTGAAACAATAGTGGCCCCAAGCCGTGCCATCCGTGCCATGGGGCCGTACGACATCCTCCTCCTCGCCCGTGCATCCGCCCGGCGGGCAGCGCTAGGCGCCCGGCACAGCCAGCGAGGCTGTTGGGCTGCCTACCGAGCGGGCGCCCGTTCGAGTCGGGCCGCACTGCTACGCACGGGGCTAGGAGTGGAGTGAATGATACGGATTAGCTGAGTTAGAGGGTTCACATAGTAAGTCACGAAAATTTGGGGCGATTCTGACTCCCCTCTCCCCTATGTCACACGGCTAACCTAACATTCTGATGCTTTCGGGATAGGACCGTCACGCGGGCATAGACCCCCTCCGCCCTCTCAGATGCGTTACGTAATTTGACGAAGACCCCTGACTGCAGAACCGGATGTAGTTGAGTGCATGCACAAAAGTGTGTTTTCAGCCCCAGCAGGTTCCATGAGGGTCTCGGCAAGCGGAACTTCGACACGCCAGACGCGTACGGACGAATGGCTGCACCGGCCGTGGACTTGACCAGTCGGTGGGACTTTCGTCCGTTTGCGTCTCCGTGCTCCCTTCTCTCCTTCAAACACCATAAGTTGGTCTCTCACAAGGATGTCACTCACCTCGCCATCTCCGATTGAAGCGCCGGCAGTCGCACCAGCAGCCGGCGTCAGCTGATTGGGACAGGACAGGGCGTGTGCACGTGTGCCGCCGCCAGCTGCACCCACACGGTCATTGTTGCCCTCACCGCACGCATTGCACGTGCACAGGGCACGCCGCGCAATCTCTGCCCCACTCACAGTACAGGCGCGGGGCCCCCCGGCGAGCACGACAAGGACAACACACTGTGGACACGAGCCGGCAGCGTGCTACCCGCGCTGCTGCTGCCGCCGCCGCCGCCCCACCTCACCGCTCACCGCCACGCCCAGGCCCCGCTGACCGGACCGGCTCGGCGAGACCGACAGGCCGGCTGAGGTTGTCGTTGTCAGTCAGTGAGCGCCAACCCGTCCGCCAGAGCACTACCAGCACCGTCGTATGTCTCCCACACCGGAGACGTCTTCACCGCAGCTTCCAGAGCAACAAGTGAGTCATCGTCTTCCCTGTTCTCCACCGGCGAACTGCAACACAATTTCAGTCCAAACAGAGTTGTTCTGTGCGAAGTCATCCGCCTGGCGCCACCGGCTCCCGGCAAGTCAGAGGTGTCGTCTCAGGTTGCAAGAGTTGGGTGGCTCGCGTATGTTGCGGGGTTTGTGTTGCTAGTTTCCCTAGCTGTACCTACGGGATTCTACTGCCAAGGTCACGGTGCTCATTTGACGCGACGATGAATGCTGGGCTGTCCCCGGCGTGCACGCCCACCGCGCCGGGCTGGCCGGGCTGCACCGCATCAGCTGGCTGACCCTACCCAGTGCATGCGTTATCTCTGTTGGGTTGGGTGGGGAGGGGAGGGGGTGGCGACGCGATTACCTCATTTACTCTGAAAAGGATTATTATCTCTTGGTTCATTACATGACCCGCCTGTTCCCGCCGTGTTTTGCAGGTAAGCAGAATGCCAGCGGGTCGCACTAAGCTCCGCCTGGGCACATACATGTGTCCCAGCCACCCAGTAGAGTTGTATGAGCTCTTCATGAAGTATCTGGAAGAAGAACTTCCCTGTGAAGCAACTCTCATGTACGAGTCCAGAGGAGGTGGACCTCTGCCAGATCGCGAAGACCCCTTCACTGCAGACTCCCTTGACATAGGTAAGATTCACTGCATGTACATTCTATGTCAAGAGAAGTGCATACAACAGACAGATACTGAATGTTAAAGCGTATTTGCAGCTTTTGTGACACCTACTGCCTATGTCAAGCTCCAAGACTCGAAGAATCCCCATGTTGAACTCCTTCCAGTAGCAGCTGTTTTTCAACATCCACGCAACAAGGCTGGTGAACCTGGTTACTTCTCAGATATTATCATCCATGTTGACTACGAGTAAGGCTCAGCAAGAAACATCTAAAATAAATGAAATAATTTGGGAGACATGTCTAATAAAATGTTAAATATTTCAGGAAACATGTCAGTAAATTGTTGGATCTCAGAGGATGTAACTGGGCATACAGTAGTGAACATTCACTCAGTGGCAGTGCAGCTATCCTCAAAGCACTCAAGGAACAGGGAGAGAATGCTGCATTCTTTGGAAACATGATAAGTAAGCCACTACCCAAATCCACTGAAATTCGTTTTGTGGGCACATAGTTTCTTGTAATTTGTCTTCTTGTTATCTCTTTAGGATCAGGATCACATCTGAAATCTGTGCAAATGGTTTTGTCCAAGCAAGCTGAAGCAGCTGCAGTTGATGCAAACACACTCTCATATAACAAGAAGTACTTGCAAGATAAGGGTAAAGACATCATTGTGCTAGAGAGCTTTGGACCCTTACCACCATATCCAATTGTTGTCAACAGCCGTCTAAGTGGTAAGTGAGAAATACATCTTTGGTTGCAGTTTTCTATAAACTTCAAAGTAATGAAATACTATGAATATTTTATTTTTAGCCACTATGAAGGAGAAAATTACTCAAGCTCTCTTGAAGATGCACAACTGCAGACTGTGGGGTGAGAGACTAAGCAACTTCGGCATTTCAAAACTGGTCCCTAATAATGAAAATGTGTATGAAAAGGAACGAGAACTCCGATCTTCAATCCAAAACACCAGTGTCAGTGTCACCTATTACTAAGTCTTAATTAAGTTATATTTATATTTCCACTGGAAACTACTGCCTAGTCATGTCTCAATACATTTATAAGTGA